AGACGGTGACAGCCATTAACCCTTTCCTAATTGTTTAAATGTTACCTCTTTCCTAGCATCCTCTTCAACTCCTTGCTCCATTAACCCAAAATCTGGGGGTGGGGGGAGTTGGGGGGTCTGAGATCCAGGGAACACCCCGGGGTAGCAGGAGGATGGGGAGGGGGGAAGGGAAAGTTTGAGCAGATGGAGGGAACGGGCTGGGCTGAAAGGTACGTGCTACATCCCGGCAGATTTGGGGTAAAGGTGCTGCCTCCAGGTCTGCAGCCTGAGGAAGGTCCTCCGGTAATGGGAAGCCTGCCGAGCAGAGAAGGCGGGGTGGGAAGGGGATGGAAGGGAGACGGATAAGGCTGGAGGTGTGTGGAGAGCTGAGGGACTTCAGCATCCTGTCAGACTTCGGGACCTGCCCCTTGTTTTTAACCCTTCCTTCTCCAAAAGGGGGAAACCGACCCTCTTTCCCTGACAAAATCACCTCCCTCCCTGCCCGGAGCTGCTGCTCCCCCATCAGGGAAGGGGCACAGACCTGCCCAAAGAGCAGAGGTGAAGATCCCATGTGCCACCACTCTCTGTCCCTCTGCCTCAGGGAGGGAGTGGAACACCCCATCTCTCCCCCCAGGGACTCGCCAGGGCATCTCCACCCCCTCCCCTTGGCCTTCTTCCCCTTCCCTCCCTTCCCTTCCATACCATCCAGCCCTTTATCCCCTATTTCCACACCTTCAAACCTTTTCCATCCCTAAAAAAACTCCTGGGGGAAGGAGAAAAGAAAGAAAATTCTTCATTTCGAGGAGCTGAGCTGCAAACCCTGGCTGTGGAGGAACGCAGCAAAGCAGCCTCTCATCCCCAGCCAGCACTGCAGCATCGCTGGCCAAAGGCATCTGTGACATCTCCAGTTCAGCGGGGACTGGAGCAAAGGGGCAGCTGGGGCCTGAAATGCAGGGTTTTAGCCGACAGGCGGCTATGCTGGATTAGCACAGTGCATGCTCCGAATGGAAATCTCTCCCTTTCCCTCGCCAGCGTTTTGGGAGTTTGTTTTCCTTCAAGAAGGCTTCCCTGCTCCTCCGAGTCGCCCAGGGATTTCTTATCCATCTCTGCAGCTTCTCTCTCTCTCCAGCCCTCTCACAGGTGCCAGCAGGAGAGTGGAAAGATTTGGAGGGAGCCAAGGAGTGCTTGGCAAAAGGAGCTCAACCCTAAACCTCACCCTAAACCTCACCCTGACCCTAACCCTGCCCCTCTGAGCGCCGTGGGGCAGCTCTGCCTTGGTTTTGGAGAGATGGGGGAGGAGGGAGGCACTCACCTTCCCTGTCCTGCATTTGGGGAGTCAGACAGAGCAAGGTGCAGCTGCCCTCTCCCCTGGGCTGCAGGGCAAGAAAGCCCAAGCAGAAGGACAAACAACCAGAAAATGCTACTGACCAAACAAAACCCATTTCCAGCTGCTGCAGCGGGGCCTGGTAGGAAACTCATCTTTGTGGGAATGTGGAATTTGGGTTCATGAATGTGAGAATCACAGAATATCCTGGGCTGGAGAGGACCCACAAAGTTCATCAAAGTTTAGCTCCTGGCCCTGCACAGGACCAGGAATCCTACCCTGAGCCACAGAGCATTGTCCAAAATACTGACAAATCTCACTGCTGACCATTTTCTTCCAGTCCTAAGTAGAGACATTTGTGAATTCCTAGACCCCCATTTAACAAGAGGGTAAACATGGCCCACACCTCAAAATCATGGAGTGGCCTGATGTCCCAAGTGCCCTCCAGGGAGAGCTGAGGGTGAGCTGTGACAGCAAACAGGACGTGAGGATTTGGGGTCTGCAGCTGGCTGAGGTAACCAAGTGCAATAATTCACCTGCTCTCTTCATCTGTGAAGTGAAGAAGGCAGAATAACTTTAGCATAAAATGGATCTGTGAAATTCCCTGAAGCAGGATAATTCTGAAGGCAAAGAAGGACATTGGCAGAGCAAGAGACACTCTCAAAACATCAGATCTCCCAAAAATCTGAACTTGGGGAGACATAGAACTTTCCTTCCAGCCTGCCAACGTAACCCAACCATGGGATCTGGGGGGAGAATGGTTTATAGATAACGGATTTAAACATACACATAAATCTGTAACATTGCAGATTTAAAGATGCCTTTGTGTTCATGGTTGTCCACTCTGCTCCCCACGTAGGGACCTTGCAGTCCTAGGTCAGCACAATTAATTTATGGCACAGAAAGCCCTGAAACAGAGATCTCTGTCCTGTTTTGCTTGAAACTGCACAGAAATCACCAAAAGGCCTCAGCTCAGCCCAAACTGACAGCCCCTGTCCCACCACAATATGGTGTGAGGACTCCTGAAGGTACTCAGGGCACCATCAGGACCTTCCAGTGTCATTCCCAGAGGAAAAGAAGCAGACAAGAGCAGCAAAAACAGAGGTCACAAGGCCCAGCAGGTTTTGGGACACACCATCCCCACACCATCATGGTGGTGCCAATAAGGCAAACCCACCCCCAGCTCTCCTTGGTGAGGTGCTGGGTGGGTTTTGTGACAAACACTGACTTTGCTGTCCAAAAACACAACCAAGAGTGAAGTATCTTTCTCTTCTCTGCTCTGTTTTCTGTCTGGGTTTTGGAGGTGGAAAGGCTTGAGCTGGATCCAGCTGTAATTCTCCTCTTCCCCCTGCCAAAGGAAAACAGCAAACTCAAGAGAGATAAACAAATCTTTACACACACTTTGAATTTAAAACATGTTTATTGCACAGAAAACACCTCCTGTTGTCAGAGGCAAAACGGGTCCAGAGCAAAGGAAAAAAGGGATGGGAATATCCATGGTTAAATGGAGCACCCCTGGGAATATGCAAAGAGATTTTGGGAGAAGGATTAAGCTCCACACTTCAGGAGCCTAAGCTGGTCTCAAACTACAAAGTACATGAGGGAGACATGAAAGAGACAGAAAAACATTTTCTATCTGCCCAATTTTTCCACCTTCTTTTGAAGCACGGAATACGGACGGAAAAAGGCTGTTTGGGCTGGTAGCTGCTCCGAGCTGGTTTAGATTTGTTAACTCTGTCCTCCCACCTCCCACATTGCAAAGGTAGGCTGGTGGTGCCGTTGGAATAATAGATTTGCCACAAAAATCTGCTGGAAGCATAATTGCAATGTACAGACACTGAGTTTGGCTTTTTTTGGAGGAGAGTCTTCCTCCCA